AAGATAAACTTAAGACCAGTAACGACTGTGTTTCTGTGGCTTCTGCCGCCCCACAAAGCTAGTGTTTTTTTGGACAATAGCATTTATTTTAAAATTAATAAAGTTACCTACATTATTAATGGCTGAAAATGCAACTCAACATGCAATTTAAAAAAGAAATCGTATTTTAAGAAAAACAGGAGATTCATGTACAAAAACAGTAGAACAGGAGAAATTTCAGAAAAACAGGAGATTTCCTGTAAAATCTGGAGACCTGGCAACACTGGACATAGATCGCGATTCGCGAAATACACAAAAAATATGTTTATCAATCTCTTTTTTTTTTAACATTTTCCCTTTTAGTGAAGACAAAGGGAACATAAACCATACAGCCTAGTTTTCAGTTCTCTTTGTTCTTTTTTTTACATTGGAATGTGGGTGTGAGGCATTTTAATGTTTCTTGTAGTATTATGCACGAAATGTATCAAGTCAGTATTCTCGATAAGCTTCTGTGAGGTAGTCAACACTACAATTAAGATCCCACGTCCACGTGACCGGAATAGCGTATATTTTAAAAGGACATTGTTCTGCGTCCATACATTGTTGGCCTAAGAACCAACAATCATGAAATATTATATTCTAGGTTCGAAATTGCAAGTAAATGACTGTAAAAACAAATATTATTGACGGACACTTCTGAGAACTTAAATTATCAGGAAAACTAAATATTTTTTGAGGTTATGTTTAATATTAAATGAAACATAGGTCAACCTATGAACTTAGTATGAATTGAATTAATATTACAACTAATTCATTATTATTCGGTGCGATTTTAAAAAATAACTATTAGGAAAAACTTGGTTAGGTAGGAATCATGAATAAAATAAAAACTAGTTTTGCATCTTATTTTTTGACTATTTTTCACTTAATTGTATCATATTGTTTTTTATTTGTTTAACACATGTATATTGTGTAAATATGCAGCGTGAATGTGTATCAGCTGCTCTTGAATAATTTGGCAGTATGATCCTCTCAGGATGTTGTGGCACAGGTTTTCTAGCACTTGGTAACAAAGTCTCTGCTATTTGGTAACATCGATAGCATATTATTTGGTATACGAAATAGTTAAATTAAAGGAAAAACAATCGCAAGTAAACACACACAACAGGAAATCCGAAACGATAATCCACGAATGCCACAGATTACTACGAATGCAAACTGCCTGCACCACAACCACAGAGTATCGAGTTTTATGCCGGCCCTTCACTTGACAACAGCCTGTTCTTGTCATGCTTAATATGGAATAAAAAGGACAGTAGTTTTCCAATTACAGAACTACAGCGCACTATGCGGCATAATGCCTATTGTTGAATGTTTCAACAACAGCAACGCTTCGCACAATCGAGCACTCTCAAAAGTAATGTTTTCGTGTGATGCGTGCAATCGTACCAACTCGGTGAGAGAAAATTAACAATTGTTTTTTCTTTAAGTAGGCATTGATTGAAATGTTTTATTTATTTAATATCGTTAGTAATATTATTTATTTTTGAAAGCTTTCCTTTCATTGTTGTTTTTTTTAAATAATCATAGTTAATTCAAACTGTATTAAAAAATAAATATAAGTATGGATGAAGGTACAAACATTGACTTTTTTTTCAACACTGAACTTAGCGCACTCTGCTGGTGCAATTGAAAACTAATTTTCGTTCCAATTAAGCATCAGCATAATTCGGCATTGTGCGCCACTGAGTCGCATTATGTTCTGTAATTGGAAAACTACCACTGATGCCAAGTCTTCAAAAAGCAAACACGAATAGCCAAGTGAAGTGCCGGCATTAAGAAGAAAGTGTTTTGTTTGCAGCGCTGCCATAGATTATACGCATAAAATGGTAGTCTCAGATTATTCTTTAACCTTTTAGTATAGCTTTCTTAACTAGAAGTGTCCGTCACAATCTAAATACTGATAATTATCGCAAAAAATATACTAAGAATTATCATAAATGCCAAATTGGTGTTGGTTCTTAGGCCAAATTTAACATTGTCCTTTCACTAATTCTTCAGTTGTGCAGGTTGTAACACAAAATCACACCAATTTTATTTCACAATATCCACTATGAATGTATTAAAGAATAATTCAAATATTACGCCAATCGCATTCGATGAAATCGCGTCAATAACTGCTGTCAAAACCATCTCTATCGTCTAAATCCATACAGCTTAGACATCTGTTTATTATTTGTTCTACATTAAAATGCAGTGTGTGTTAGGTATCATATTATCGTATTTACTATAGTTTTCATTAAAAGCATCTAATTGCGAAACTTACTATAATATAAATAAAACAGTTGTTGCGAGTTATATGCACTGCATTTATTAATTATTTATGGATCAAACAAATAAACTCAAAATTATAAAAAAAAAAATACTTTAATGACGACCTCCGTGGCCGAGTAGTTTGTACGCCGGGTTTCATGGTGTTGACGACTCGAGGGTTTGAGTCCCGGTGGGGGCAGATGTTTCTGTGATGAATATGAGCATTTGTTCTCCAGTCATGGATATTTAAATATGTATTTCTATATAGAAATATACGTATATATGTACAGTATATGTATTCTATCTGTTACCCTAGCATCCCATAACATATGCCTTACAGTTGCTTACTTTGTAGTCCAATCATTTAAGCTTAAATTAGGTAAGAATCTCGGAATTCGAGATACCCAGCTGTAAGTCTGTAAATACTTGTATATTGACACCCTAAAAGTTGTCTCAAAACCTACATATGGTAGGGTGCACGCAACTATTAAATTTCAAGGTCAAAGTCAAAGTCACAAAAATTAGTTTTTTGCGCTTTTTTTGTAAATATCTCATTTCCTATGGGTTTTTTGCTATTTGTATTTATTATCAATATTGTAGAATACAAAATTCTCTACAAATTTTGTTTGAAAAACATTTTTCATACGGTGAACCGTTTTCGAGATAGAGGGCGGAGAGCGCGCGGTCACAGCATCACTTCAGGTCAACCGGTGCCTCCGGTCAATAACGCGCCATATATAGTTGATGAACTATCGATAAATCAATGATTATAAATATTTGTCAATTTTTATTAACTATTATATTATATTTTATCATTTTCTTCATGCCTTAAATCTATATCTATTCAATAATACTGATCACCGTTTCCTAAAATTTAAATAATAATGCTATAATGCTCCGAAATCTGTGAAAAGTCTCGATCATCTTCGTTAAATGCATTACGTCAAGTCTACAAAACTTAATAAACCTGTGCAGCTTTCAAATATTCCACCAACAAGTGCAGCTGCTCATCAACATTTCGAACGTGTATATTATCAAGTTCAAACTTGGTTAGGGCATGATTTGGAACCCCAGGTATGGGGTTGGGCAATGCGAAACGATTTTCTGGAGCCTATCATGACAATTTTACCACCTGCTCCAGAACATTTGCTAAATACAATTTTCTGCAACTGCAAGAGTGGTTGTGGTTCGCGATGCGGATGCAGGAAAGCGGGCTTGCAATGCTCTTTAGCTTGTGGCCAATGTAATGGGCAAGCTTGTCTCAATGCTCTACCATATCAGAGCGACATTAACGAAGATGGAACTTTTGACCCCGAAATCATGGAAGAACTTGAGACTTGAGACTACAATTATCTACGGTGATTGGCGCTTCGCCGGCCGCTACCGCGGCACGCTCGCTTCGCTGGCCTGATTGGTTTAATTTTTTGGTATCGCATCGTTTAATTGGCTATTATCTGTTAGGTGAAAATGTAGTGGGGGTGCGCCGGCGACATCGGTTCCCGTACAAATAGTCTTTGATCACCCTGCTAACATCTTTCTGTGTTCTGTGGTTACAACACTAACCAAACCTAACCCACTGACTACAAATACCAATTATGCTTAGCCAAATTATGCAGAACAAAATTTTGCCATAGGTAATTAAGGTTTAATAAAATTTTGCCGTGTACAAGTAATGCTATTTTGAATTCGGCCATATAAATATTCGGCCAATTAATAATTATACTTAGTAATAATATGCCTTATTGATATTCGTTTAAATAAGTTTATGCCAAGTGGGTTTTGCCAAATTAATTTCGGAGCAACAAAATTATGCCAGATAGAGGAAAAGGGTGACTTACAAAAAATACTTTACTTCCCTTGCTATGTGTATGGTTTTAATCCCTTAGAACAATCGATACTTCACTGCAGAAGGTACCTACTCAATGAAATATAAAAATAAGTTTACTTACACTTTAATGATCCGTTACAAATAACTAACTACGAGTTCAATTTTGTAGAGAAGAATCTCTTATCTTTAACTTATGTCGTAATTAAATCCTATAATGGATACCAATACTAACGTATACACACACAGTATACATTTATATAATATGATTGACGCCAGCTCATTTTGCATAACGGTATATAAAAATTTAAATACCTAATCTCAAATAGAGTCCGACCGAAACTAGTTTTCCGGCCGAAACCAAAACCGAAATCGAATATTCGGCCGTGGCTTCAGTTTCGACCGAAACCGAAACTCACGTGGTCAAGATTAAAATTCCTGAAAAATAAAAATACTGAAATTTGGTGCATTTTACCCATTATTCATCATTGATTAGGACTTGAAATGAAAACACAGTATATTAATTTTGTTTTAGGTAAGTAATCATTTATTAAATATAATATAAAAAAATATTAATAATATTTTTAACTATTTTTTTCAAATTAAATTCTCATAGCAAAATTTTTATCAGTTATCAATAATCAATACACAAATTGTTACTGTTTCATTAAATACCCATTGGTATTTTGAAATCTTATTAATTAATACTTTGGTTTGTGTTTGTACTTAGAAGAATCATCAATCTCTTTTATCTCAATATAGGAAACTGCACTTCTCAATATAGGATATGGACTGCTGTGCGAGAAACGAAGTACGGCGAGCGTGCACGACAACTGCCGAAATCAGTTTCGGTTTCGGCAAAAGTTTCGGCCAATTTTGGCTAAAACTGAACTTTCGGTCGGACACTAATCTCAAATCACTTTTGACAAATCACAACACAGCTTTGTCTATGATTAGAAGTGATTGCGTTCCGTTGCACGCTAATCCGTAGACACCGCCCTGTAGATGCGGCCCGCGTGCTGGTACCGCTCCTCCTCCATCAGCTGCTTGTGCCGGCTGTGCACCACCACGATGCAGTACACTGCGATACCTGCATGTCATAAACACTATGAAATAACTGGGATAAGACCACAGCATAAGACACAATTAAGATTATCAGAAAAAATACATATTTTATATAAAAAACCTTGCAAGTAGCATGTAGGCACTTCTAATTTGTTAATCAAACCGACAAGACAATTATTGAAACTTTTGTTGAAACTTTCACAACCTATCAGTATTGTTTTGAATCTGCATCAGCACCGACGCTACATATGGATATGTAGATGATGAGATCTGACATGTTTACTGTTTGCGAAAGGAAAAACTGTTGTATTCTATATTTCTCTCCCACTCCGGACCCAGCCCATCATTGAAACCTTCATAATAATCAGTTTATAAGTCTTCCCACTGCTGTGAAACAGGCCTGCCCTATGGCCCTAGGCAGATAGTGCAGATTCTGACCGCTTCAGATGAAGCTGGAGCCCTAGGCTTAACGTGCCTTTCAAAGCACAGGGCAGCTCAGGATAGTAAATTTTTGGCCACCCATTGATGATACTGAACATTCGAAAGCTGCATATCTTCCACGGTAGCAGACCGAACGCGCTAACTACTTCACGTTGAGCTCCTCCCTCCACTAACTCCACTAATTTGTGGACTTCCATGAAGTACAGGTCTTTAAACCACCACGCAGACAGGAATAAATTTATAGTTTTTTTAATGTCCGACAGATGACTCCACCTCACCTGAAGCTAAATGACGGTGGACGCGAATATTGCGGGTACAGCAGTTCTACCTGAAGATGGATGAAGGATGACTGCTGATCCTTCATCCACCTTCATGCCTCTTTTAAAGGTTATAGAAGGAAGAGAACACGTGAGCTGGCAAAGTATTCAATTTGCGGATAGTGCGCCAAAGAAATGAGTCACCAAATTACTTTTTTCGTGTGGATATAGTGGCTACCGTAAACCGGTTTCATCGTAAGCCAGCGCGCATGGTCCTCTGAAAGAAAGGGGAAGGACATATTATAATCTTACAGGTTCTAATGAGACATGCGCAGATGGCGATGATCTCCAGCGCCAGGATCTCCCCGGTGTCCTGCAGCACCAGGCTGATGGCGGTGAGGCAGATCACGAAGTAGATTGCCGTGATGATTCCTGTCACGATCGTCCATGGCAGCGTGAGAGATGCTAGCCTCTGGAAGCAAAAAAATAATGTTATAAAATCCCAAAATCCATAATCCACAAGGTTTGCCATTGGTAGGATGAAATGCAGCCGTCGAAGATCCAGCGAAGATGCAGCGCCGTTGTGGGTAATTTTATACTGGAGATGAGTATTTGTATTGGTTGACAACTGATGTCGATGGCTATCGGCAATGGAATTCGATCAACCGCCGGCGCCTAGTCATACTAGGTACAAACTCTTAAGCTGCAATACGATTTACCCTCGGGGACATATATAATAAGCGTTCTATTATATTATTTTAAAAAGGGTGAGAAAGATCTTAGTTTCGTAGCCTGATCGTAGAAGATCATTCAAATCCCGACAATTTTGAGATGAGAAGTATGGATTTCGCGTTGCTTAATCTGACTTCATCCACTAACCCGTGTAGCTCTGAAGCAGTGGCGTAGCATGGGGGGGGGGGGGGGGGGCGGGGGGTGCGGTCCGCACCGGGCGGCAGAGAAAAAAAATTAAAATATAAAAAAAAGTTAATTTCTTTCAGTTTTTTTTCGTCTTTTTTTTGTTGTTGTTACCAAATACCCAGGTACCTATGCAGGTTCTATGCATGGGTGATGCAAGCGCAAGGTTTCTCAATAACTATTATTTAGGAAATTTATTTCGTTTCAAGTTTCAATGTTATTTTAAATAAATATGTCTCCTTACGCATTCTTTGTACTTCACCGTAGCTAAAGCTTCCGAAGCACTCAATTTTTTTATAATGGATTGCAAAAATAAGAGGGCGGCAAATTTGGAATCCGCACCGGGTGCTAGTGACCTATGCTACGCCACTGCTCTGAAGACATTATTTAATTCAGAAATACAATACTGCCAGTGTTGCTGTCTTGTCTTGTATTAACGGCCCACCAAAAACATTTTGTAAAAAACTAGCCAAGTCTCGATGGAGCTACTTGTACATCTCTAAAAAGTTATGAAATCTAGACAAAGTCGTGCCAAGTCTAAGGTTCCTTACTGCGATTTCTTTACGGCTTCGCGCTCGACTTGGCGGGGGCACTACCGTGCCCCCGATTAGACTTCGCACGCAAAATAGGCACTATTACCAGCCTATTAATGTCCTCACTGCAGGGGCACAGGCCTTTCCTATGGATGGAATAGGGAAAATGGGCCGTTACCATGCCGTGACCCACCACGCGGGACCAGTGCAGATTGGCGGGGCGGGTGCTAACGACTGCAGATGCAGCCGGATTTGCCAACAGCTTAATGTGCCTTCCAATGTACGGAGGAGCACGAGATACTAAGTTTTTTGTCACCCATCCAATGACCGATCATTGCGAAAGTTAAAAGTATAAAATAAAATGTAAAATAAAATAGGCACTACGTGGATGGTTAATCTTGGTAGGGGGCCGTTCATAAAATACGTCACGCTAAAATCAGCTTTTTCCTTCTTTTTCCGACCCCCTCCCCCCCTATTGTCACGCTGTGTCACACTTTCTGTGACCCCTCTTGAAATATTCCGTAACAAAAACGGAGAATAAACATGAGTAAATATATCAAGTTACAATTTATTGTATAACAAAACTATATACGTTTGAATGTCTATATGTTTACTAAATACGAAAATGATTTTCTATCTTGATGAAAATTGAGAAAGAAAAATAGTTGAAAGAAATACTAATTTAAATTTTTTTAATGAACGACGAACGTCACGTTGCCGTAGACCCCCCGTCCCCCCTTGTCACATCTTGTCACACTTAGCAACACCCCTCCCCCCCCCCCCTTGTATGCGAACGTATTTTATGAACGGCCCCTAGGATGTATGTATACACATCAAGAGATATGTGTAACCTTTAGTTAAAATACCTTTACAGCTGCTACAATGAGCAGGATGGACGACAGCATGTGCATTCCGCTCACTATGGCAGCGGTGATGTAGAAGGCGTACTTGTGGACGGACACTTGGCCATTCTTGCCTAGCGGCCACAGCGTCACGATCAGGCAGTACCCTATCAGCTCCAGCAATGTCCATATCTAAAAACATTGCAATAAGTTTTACCGTAAGAAACCATTGAAACAAAGAACAAACGCAGTAAAGTATATATCAATCAATCGATCAATTTATTTGTTCAAATATGAGTACATAATTTGGTGTTACATAAATATAATGTCCATTCATATTTTACCCTATATGGGTGTGAAACAAATTAGGTAGGTACTGTAATATACAAAATCCAAAATTGTCACATATCAGTAATTGTACTTAAAAAAAGATTAAAATTGTGATAAAAGCAAAACATTTAGTAAATTGTCAAATTAAATAGCATTTTTTATGACACTTAAAAAATAGTACTAATCACATATCAATTGGCAAATTAAATAGAAATTGTTCATAGGTCATTTTAATAATAATTGAAATAATAATCATTAAATAACATGTGCATTGGGGCAGAAAGGTTCTCGAGTGGCGGCCGCGTAAAGGGAAAGGCAGCGTTGGTAGCCCCCGACAAGGTAGACTGACGATCCGGTAAAGGTAGAAGCCGCTAGATGCGGGCAGCGCAAGACCAATCGGTTCGGAATTGCTTGGGGGAGGCCTGTGACCCAGCAGTGGACGTCTTTCGGTTGATATGATGATGATGATGAAAGTATAAAACTTGCACAAGCAAGATTGACAAATTTTATTCTTCTAGTTTAATGGTTAAAAATAGTTACTATTTGATGTCAGATAATGTATAAAAACAATCGACAATAATAATAAATGTATTTATTTGCCCCAACATTTTTACATAGTTTAAACATAACAATTGTTTTCTTAATGCTTAATAGAAGTGTCAATACTATTTAAAACGAAAAACACAATAAAATAGCACTTACAATACACTAGTACCTAAACTAGGCCGAGCCCGTAAAATAGGTACCTACTAGATCCTTCCTTTTTCACTAAATTAATATTGAAAGGATTTCATCTCTAGTTTCAGTTTGAGAAAAGCCCAATGGCCGATTCCAATAATCACATGTTAATTAGGATACATAGTGACCGAATATAAGGCCAAGGGTGAAATACCTGGTGCACTGGGAAACTGACTGAGGCAGTATCCAACAAAAAGTTGTAAAAAAAATTGATCCTAGTGGAGCAACGCTAGCTGGAGTGACTCCAGCTCTATTAAAGATATCGATTCTACTACAACGTTAATTAAATATCGTTGTTCTACTAGCAAAACACGTGCTAAATGGACCACGAGTTGCGGTAAGCCCTTTATAGAACCTAGATAGCGACTCAATTACTGCCTTCCTACTAAGCTAGATAGGCATTTATTAAATTTTGTACCTTTTACTTGTAGCTCAGCTTTTCCAGTAAGATTGGGTACTTAACAAAGGTCCACGCAAGCTGACAGTCGCGAGTTCGTACCCTACCTGGCCGCGTTGGCCGTGTTGCTCTATATACGTACCCTACTCACAAATTTTGAGCAATATCTTGGATCTGAGTGAAAGCGCATGTATGATCTAAGGCATTCAAATATTCGTGATTACAATCAAGTAGGTATTGCCTTATCAGTTCTTTTTTTATTAGCCTTATCGTGACCTCCGGTATACGAAGGACAAGGTTTGAGTCAATACATTTTCTGATCATAGAAAGTTCGTAGATTAAACGCTCTAAATCAACCATCAGACCCCTCTTTCCCAGTGGGCACTTTGGGCAAGTGCCCAGGGCCCCGCGATCGATAGGGGCCTCCCTCAGTTCAAATACAAAGTCTCTAGTTCCTGTCAGATCTCCAAACGATAATCAATAATTATTACCAAAGAACTTACATAATTTGATGAAATCGAACCTAAATTACTGACTACAATACCACTTACTATCTTTTACATAAGCGATATTCTACTGTTGCACAAAAATTACGATTTCCGACTTCAGCATGCTTAGATAAATTTAAATATACATATAATGATATACTAAGCACATACACATTTTAAAGAAAAATCATCAGTATGACTAGCTCCATTTCAAGTCATAATCCACATCAAAGTCATAGGGGCCCCATTATCCTAATATGCCCAGCTCCTCTAGCATGACCACCGAAACGGGATATGATAAAGCAATATATCGACATTAACTGTCAGATTACTGTCAAACTCCATAGTAGTCTGACAGTTAATGTCGATATATCGCTTTATCATATCCCGTTTCAGTGGTCATGCTAGAGGGGCAGGGCCTCTAATAGGTTAAAGACGGCCCTGCTAACCATCGTGTTATAACAAAAAAAAGGTAAATAATGTTATTAGTATTATAAACCTATGCATTATATAAATGCATTTTCTTGTTAGCTGCCTGTGTTTGTAATTTAAATAGACAGAAATACCTACCTATATTACAAGATCACGTTATACCTACGAATATTTTTCCTTCACAGCTCTATCGCATATTATTTGATCTAAGTTCTGACGTTATGAACAACCAAACAAAAGGTCTAACCTGTCCTAACACGATTTATTGATATTCGTATACTGTTGTGAAATAGTTATAATCTTGACGCAAATTACTTAAACATCGTTCCAATACCAAGGGAAATAAATGTTTAAAAACTGAGAATTATTTTTCTAATGTTTGGGAAATACTTGATGGCATTTCTCAGACACCGAGAGAAACATACGAACGATTTGTGTGCCTTACCACCTCAGTAGTATTCGTCCAGTGTACGAGTAGTACTTTGGCGAAATGAATGGGATTCTACTCACTACAAAACTAAACAATCTTTATTATTAAGGAAACTTGGTGAGACGTGTAACAAGCCTCCATGAATTTCTAGAACTCTTAAAAAAATGGAAAAATCTTTCAAAAATTAAAGACAAATAAGCAACGCCAGAGTGATTCGAGTTTTATTCTCAACCCCGTGAGCTATGGAAAAATTACACACAGCACTTTAAGAGGAACGATATTCCCTTTCTTTGAAAGATTTTACTGTTAATTGAATGCCTGTCTGTCCTTCAGCTTCGGAACCAATGCCGTTCGACTTACTTTTATCTAAAAATAGCAATCCCAAAATAAAACTAATAATACATACCGTGTACACGCATCCGATGATCAGTGTACCAATGTGTAGACTGCACCAGCAACATCGATCGACCATAGGCACACCCATTGCACTATCGAAAGATTATTTCATAAAATAGCGAGAAATTAACCGACATTTCAATAATAATAACTTGTGAAGTACGCGAGCATGGCGCGTCGCTTCGGTTCGGCTGTGTTATCGCGATTCATAAAGATATTGTTGCGGTTCATGATTTCGCGACGATAAAAATTTCGTGCGCGCATTGTGCGTCGCGTCTGTTGTATGATGTAGTCAGTAATCGTAGTCGGTTTCTTATCAGCTGATATGCCAATGATTTAATGACTAGAGAATTTCGTAAATGGGTAGGTAGCTTTTTTTTGTCAAGGACATTTGTGTTATGTTTTTATTTATTTTTTTAGCATTTAACTGCTAGATGTCTAACTATTTTTAACTATAATTGCTGTTTCTTCTTTCAAATGTTTAATACTTGAAAAAGTATTCATTTGACATTGTGGGTTACCTACAATGCGAAGAGATGGCGCTGCCTTGCAGCTTAAGGCTAGGAAAATTTCGACACGGCGAATAGGGCCGTGGTAGCATAATGGTAACCGCTGCCTGGTCCGCGTGGATTTTTTTCTAGTAAACTTTTCTTTAGATTTAAACATTTGTGTTATTTTATTAAAGCTAGATAATTTTTGTTTACTTAGAAGTTCTTACATCATAAAATAGCAAATAGATTTACTCATTTATCTCTTGCGTGTTGTTAAATGGAGCATCAAACGTTTTTATTTAATATCAGCAGGTAAATACTTAAGCAGCTGACGCACTCTGTTGTTTTCTGTTGCTCCCAGTCTAGCTTGGGAGCATTAAGTTTTAAATCAATGTTGATATTGATGGCAACCAGGCATACCTTACGAAAATATCATAAACGATACTTTTATTCTTACTGCGTCTGGAGTAAACACTATTGAATGAATATGACTTTATGACGCAATACTTATATGATATCATTCATATTTTTATTATATTAAATTGCTACAGCATTTCATGTCACTAGGTACTTTCCCACAACTAGAGATTAGAGATATTGCGTATGTCCGAGTCCGATTATGTACTATTAGATACGACATTCCTACATAATACAATAGGTATATCGACCAAATTCTTTCTATAGGAAACTAATACGAGTTTAATCTTTCAATATATCTTTAGTTATCCAGATGCACCAATTCATACTGCAAACTATACCTAATCCCTTCCTTCCTTAAAATTGTTATTTTAGTCATATTTTTTTAAGCATTTAATAATTAGATATTTAAATCTAAAAAATAAACTCGAAAAAATTGCGGGCTGCCTGCATGGTTTCTAGTAAAATTTTCTTTATATTTATATAATTGTATTTTAGATAAAAGGAGTTTAAGATGTTATAACGGTGTAGGCGTTATGTACCCAAACAAACTTACACAGATTCAAGAAAATTCGTATTTTTTTTAAAATAGACTTGGTCTCTGTAGTGGAAAACTTAATACAGAACTCAGTTTCTAAATTAAACAAGTTTTGAACGGGTATAAATGATTTTTTATACTTTTTTTTCTAATGTTTTTTGATGTTTAGTATTAAAGACGCATTTATACCCGGGTGTGCGTGAAAAGTTAAGAAATAAATCAGTTTCTAAAGTTTTCCGAGACAGTTGACGCTGGCTTAAAAATGTAATTAGTGCATAATACTTAAAAAATATATACTCAACTATGTTCCGCTTATTCAAATATTGTACTAACGGAAAAAAACGTGGTAAGCTGTATAGATTTAGTATCTTGTATTATCACTAGGTACCGAGAAGAATCAATGAATTCTTTAGAAATAGATATTTATTTAGAATTCCAAGTTCCGCTCTTTTCTAGAACGGTAAATGATGAAATGATATTTATCAAAGTAGGTAGGGTCTTTACAATAGTTTATCTGATAAAGGAATTGCTTTATTATAATTATTTTGTTATGTTTGGACATATCGTTCAGTGATCGGCGAACGATTTACAGCTTAGCAGTTAATAACAATTGTTGTATTAAAATTTTAATATTACGATAATAAAATGTGCTTTCAACTGAAAAGTTGTTTGTTCTGCATAAAATTGCACGCGGCAACGAAACTGATTGCCTCCATCTATATGGTAAGTTTAATTTGTTTAACATTTTATAACTATTAGACATTTAAAGACTTTTAGGTAGACATATGACTGTACCCCACCTGCAGTTGTATTCTGTATGAACAAACTCACATTTCACTTCGGAATTCGCTGTGTGATTTTAAACTATGTAGAACGTGATTTTAAAATAAATTCATATCACACTGTCAAATTCTGTTAAAATAAACTTGTTCTGAGGACCTCGATGGCGCAGGTGGTTAGCGCGTTCGGCTGCGATCGTTGTAGTTAAGCAACTTTCGCAGTGGTCGGTCATTGGTTGGGTGACCAAAAAAAAATTTCTATCTCGAGTTCCTCCGTGCTTCGGAAAGCACGTTAAGCCGTCGGTCCCGGTTGCATCTGCAGTCGTTAGCACCCGCCAATCCGCACTGGGCCCGCGTGGTGGGTCATGGCCCAATCTCCCTATTCCATCCATAGGGAAGGCCTGTGCCCCAGCAGTGGTGATATTAAGAGGCTGATGATGATGGAATAGTGCTAAATTAGCACCGCTGATGTTAAGTAGGTAGTGGCAAAGTTCCATAGAGAAGATACCTGGTGCAAAAGTTTTCAACTTGATGAACACTTTTTTAGATATAACTAAGTCTTCTAACCAAATACAAAGTATAGCGTGGCTATAGGACTGAGATTGATGTATGTAGTTTATTACACAACCATAAGATAAATTACGCATGTGCTACTTATGCTTGTGCGACCTAGGAACAACTAATAAAATTATTAAGTTTTTGTTTCTTAGGTTTTCACGCACATCACTCATTAAATAAAACTAGTTTTTACGGGTTAATGCACGAAACTTTATTTATTTATTGACGTTTCGCAGCCTTTTATTCTGACGATGCAGACCTGAAAAGGCTGCGAAACGTCAATAAATAAATAAAGTTTCGTGCATTAACCCGTAAAAACTAGTTTTATTTATTAAGTTTTTTTTTCTTTCAATAAAGTTTTAGCAAAAAAAGACATCAAATATTCAAACCTTGACTGCTGCTGTAAAGTGTAGGATTGTTACTTCAATTAATACCCTAGTTGACCCTTATATAAAGTTTCAGACCTGTTTAGTTATTATTTTTTAGAGCACACCTTTTTTTAAATTGATTTGATAAATCCGACCTACATAATTTGATGCAGGTAGCAACTGGTTTTACTGTGATTTCACAACATTTCAAGTGACTAATTGATTAATCATCGCGCACTGGTAATTATATATGTCGCGGGATCGGGAACTATGATAATATTACCTGACTTTTTTATGATGAAATGAAGATAATTATATAATAATTAAGCACATAATCTTACTGTTCCTTCCTTAAATTCTAGCTTACGATACGCTCCGTCTTCGCACGGTGCAATATCACCATCATCATCATCAGCCTATTAATGTCCCCACTGCTGGGGCACAGGCCTTCCTTATGGATGGAAAACGGAGATTGGGCCATGACCCACCACGCGGGCCCAGGACCAACGGCTTAACGTGCCTTCCAAATCACGGAGGAGCTCGAGAAAGTAAATTTTTGATCACCCATCCAATGACCGACCACTGCGAAAGTTGCTGAATTTCAACGATTGCAGCCGAACGCGCTAACCACTTTCGCCATCGAGCTCCACCAAAGAGGTGTAATATAATAAAATAAAAAAGCCTTTATTTGATCCTGCTACATTGCTTCTTAATTTACTATTTTTATATAACTACACATATATGTTTAATTATAAGCAAGGTCCCCCGGTTGGGTAAAGGCCTCCTCCAGCGATGTTCACTTCTCTATATCTTGTGCTATTTGCCACCACTTTGGAACAGCGATTTTTTTAATATCGTCCTCCCATATGGTGGTGGTGTAGGTCCATCTTTTGTGTTTTGAGGTGTAATATTATACACTTTAATTACGAAGGAAATGAGAAATGGCAAAACAAAATAATACTACATGCCGCGGGTTTCAGTTATTCCTCTTTTACTGATAAAAAAAGAAGTACAGTACAGTACAGAAAATTTAGCACGAACTAAGGGTCTGTTCACATCTCCACGTCACGACGTCGTCAAAATGACACGGTGCCGGTAAAGCTGCACGGTGCGCTGCCATAACGTGCAAATCTGTAGTCCTAGCACGAACCATTATCGAATTCGAATACTTTGCAAACCGAAATGTCAATGTCAAATTTTATATGGAAACTTGAACAGCAGCGCCACTTTCGACGTAACGGGAACCAAAAATCAGTTTTCATTTCACAATGACATTTCGGACTCGCAAACGTTACGAATTCGATTTTGGTTCCGTGCTAGGGGTACTGGTAATAAATTTGCACGTTTTAACAACGTTGTGGCGTGGAGATGTGGGCAGGCACTAATATCGAAGTTTTGTATGGAACATTTTAAATTCTCGTTACATCCGTTGTCGCGCTGTTCAAAGGAGATTGCTCAAATTGACCCAAATGTACAAAAAATATTGACATATAAGGTAATTCTTGGCGTAACTTATACTTTATTTTACAGTCATTCGATTTTAACGGACACCTTTGTATAATATATTCATTTTAAAAAGGACTTTTAATTTTATCGGTTTGGAAAACATACGAATCACACAGTTTCTGTCACAGAGTACCTTATTATAACCGGAAATGCATAGATGATACTTGATTTTAAGAGTTACTCTTGTGCATTAACTTTATAAACAGGCAACTATCTGTTAATCTACCTGCTCTATATACCTGAATCTAATACGTAATTTCGGTACTTGGCTTGATGTCCCTAGTTTACTATATAACTTATTTGTTTTTTATTTTTTTAATACCCATGTACCTATTTACATACATAACCTCAAAATCATTCAGTGTATATGGTTTATAGAAGCTCTCAGGGGTGTCCGTCAATAATATTCTTTTCTACAGTAATTTATATACAATTTCGATTCTAGGAAACAATTTTTCATGTTTATTGGTCTTTAGGCCAAACATGTATGGAAGCTGAGCAATCTCCTTTCCATATAAAACGAGATCGAATTCAACTATTTGACTTTGATATTGGTTCATGCTAAGGGTAGTAATAATCTGCCGTTGTCGTTCTTGCTACTGTTTGTGCTATTTCGGCCAGAGAGG